AGTCGGGTGGGTTCAAATCACTTACCTTTAGGTGGTCAATACTTAAAACACTGCACCACCAAGACTCTTTTAAAGTAAACTATTTGCTGTGGCGTTGGAATCAACTTATAGCTGAAGTTTCATGGGGTTCCTGGACCTGTAAATCGCATATCTTTCTCCCTTGGTGTTGCTGATGCCCTGGAACCACTGGGATCACGGTCTTTGGGTAAGCAACACAACCCCTTGCAGACTCTTCTTACCACAGTTCTTAAAGTACACAATGATAACTTTTTAGTCACTTAAGACATCTGTGATAAGTGCCATAGCAGAAATACTGCAGGGCAATTTTCTTTTTTACCTAATCTCCTTATTCCAACTTCAACCACTTTCTTCCAGTAGCTTGGGGTGTTGAAGAAACCAGGGCATCCTCTCCATATTGTCATAGCCACTCACTCCATCTCACAGACTACTTTTTAAAAAATTTTATTTTATTAATTTTAATGAACATTTACAGAGATTTTGGATTTCCATTCATTCATTGTTGCACTTTTCTCCCTGCCCACCCCTCCCCTCCAGTTTGCTCTTCTCTTTGAAAAGAAAAAATTCCTTCATTGGTATGCAATCTCCCTGTCCCTCTCCCCCCGCCCCCCACAGACTACTTTTTATGAGCCTGAGCCATCTCCACCTATCTTTCTTGGAGTGTAGTGACTAGAACCATGTATGCCCTTCCTGTAGCTGACACACCTGAACGCTAAGCACATTGCTGCCTCTGCACTGAGTCTTTGATGGGAACAAGGATAAATTTCTGCCCTAAGGCAGAGTCCCTGATTGGTGCAAACTGTCAATTCTAGCACCTGCTAAAGTCAAGTTACTATTGTTTACCTGGAGCCTAGTGCACCTCACAGTAACTCTGTGAACAAGGAATCAGAACACTGCCGTATCCTGTGCCAGTCTCACCATCTTTGACATACTTGAGCCCATTGTCAATGTCAATTGAGTCAATGTGTCAATCCTTGCTGAGGGTTTCTTCTCTTATGCTAACCTTCCACCTTTCCAAGCATGCTGTTCTTCACCAAGGTCTGGCCCTTCCTGACAACATGCTTAAAGTATGTGAGTCAAAGTTTTACCATTCTTGCCTCCAAAGAGCACCCTTGTTGCACTTTCTCCAAGGCAGACCTATTTTGTTCTCCTGGCAGTCTATGGGATATTCCATACTCTTCTCCAACACCACAACTCAAAGGTACCGATTCTTCTGTCATCCTTATTCATTGTCCAACTTTCAGTCCTATCAAGACAACGGCTTGGATCAGGTGTACCTTGGACTCTAAACTTACATCAGTGCCCTTTCGTACTCTGGAGAGATACCTAAGAGTAGATTTTCCTGATGTGACTCATCTTTTGATTTCTCGATTGATAGTATCAAGGGAGGGAGCTCTGGTAGCCTAGTTGCAAGAAGCTGCGCTGCAATCCTGAAAGCATGTAGTTCGAGGCCACCAGCTACTCCTCAGGAGAAGGATGGTCAATCTGGTCCCATGCGATGTACTACGATGTACTGCCTCTGAAAACCTGCCAGAGGGTCAGTTATGGATCAGTTCTGACTCAACGGTACACAGTAACAACCACCACAGTGGCAAGAGTGTTAATTGTGAACCCAAGCAAGATGAAATCATTGCCAAGTTAAATCTTTTCTCCATCTGATGTTACCTGTTGGTTTAGCAGTGAAAATTTTTATTTTCTTGATATTGAAAGCTTTATAGTCTTTGACCTTCTACAAAAAGCTTTTAAAGTCCTCACTTTCGATGAGCAAGGTTGTTAATGAAACTTCTTATGATTCTGATGCCATGTGGTTTTTTTCCCCTTTAAAGTCTAACTTCTTGAATGATTTATTCAGATAGATATTAAATAAGCATGAAGAAAGAATACAGCCCTGACATACACCTGTCTTAATTTTAAACCGCACAGTATTCTTTGATCTGTTCGCATGATAGCTTCTTGGTTTAGGCATGAAGAGAATTAAGTCTTCTGGGACTCCCATTCTTCTCAATATAGCCATAATTTGTTGTGACCCACATTTCAAATGCCTTTGCATAGTCAATAAAACACAAGTAGATATTCTTCTGGTATTCTCTGCTTTCAGCTAGGATTCATTTGACTTCAGCAGTGATATCTCTGGTGCCATGGTGTCTCCTAAATCCAGCTTAAATTTCTGTCAGTGTTCTGTGTGTACATTTAAAAATTATCTTTAGCAAAATTTTGCTTGCATATTATATTAATTATATTGTTCAATAATTTCCATATTCTGTTGAGTCACCTTTTGAGGGGATGGAAATAAATATGGATCTCTTCCAGTCAGTTGGCTGGGTAACTGTCTTCCGAATTTCTTGGCCCAGCCTGGTGAGCACATTCTGGACTACATCTGTTTGTTGGAATGTACCAATTGTTATTCCATTAATTCCTGGGGCCTTATTTTTTTTTTTCTGATGCCTTCAGTGCAGTTTGAATATCCTTATTATTCTTGGTTCTTTTAAAAAAAATTATTGCTTTGTTTTCTTTGAAGCTGTGTCTTGGGTACATGGCCAGGAGAGCTCAGTCCTTGGAGGAGGACATTATGATTGGAAGGGTGGCGTGACAGTGCAGGAGAGGAAGACTGAATGAGATGGATTGGCACAGTAACTGGGGTAACAGGGGTAGGTATGTTGGAGTCACTGAGACTGGCTCAGGATAGGTCAAGGTTCGGAGCTATTGTACATAGGGTCACTATGAGTGGCAGGCGACCCTATGGCACATTAACAACATACATAGAATAATTTATTTACATTGTGTTTCATTCATGTACAATGTTGGGGTTTTTTCACCTCCTCTCTCCACCCACCAAACTCTGTGACCGTGTGATTTCCTCCTCTCCACCTTCAATCTCCCTGTCTCCTCCCCTTTCCTCTTTAGATATTAGTTTTTGATCATATGCTACTTCCTAAAATAGTTCTGTCTTAGCCAATTCTTTTTGGTGCAGTGACTCCATGTATTCCTTCAAAGGAATACACAATATCTTCTTTTGATGCTTTCTGGATTATTCAAGATTTGCCCATAGCCATTTTCAGTATTACAAGTTGAGGTTTGAATCTATTCTTCAGTTCTTTCAGTTTGAGAAATGCCAAGTGAGTTCTAACCTTTTTACTTTTTAACTCCACTTTTTTGCACATTTTGTTATAATACTTTGCTTTGTCTTTTCAAGCTACCTTTTGAAACCTTTTCTTACTTCATCACTTCTTCCTTTTGTTTTGTCTTTTGTAATCTCTTTTACTTCATCATTTCTTCCTTTTGTTTTGACTTTTTAATGTTTTAGTGTAATTTCCAGAGTTTCTCCTGGCCTCCATTTTGGTCTTTTCTTTTTCCTTATCTTTGTAATGACTTTTTGCTTTGATATCCTTGATCACATTCAACAGCTCATCTAGTCTTCAGTTATTAGTGTTCGATGCTTCCATTCTATTCCTGAAGTGCTTTTACATTCAGGTGGTGGACGTTCACGTGTCTTAAGGGCCAGCAAGCTAGAGTGAGGTGCCAAAGTCATGGCAGGACAGGCCTTTAAAAATGTCTTTCCTTCTTTGACCAAGTATTTGTGGGAAGGAATACAGCTGAAACTGTAACCAAAGGAGCCATATGTTTCCAGAAAAAAAAATATCTCAAGGTAAAGCGTTACAAGCAACAATAGTAGCTGTTGGATCTGGATCTAAAAGAAAGGGTGGAAAAATTCAACCAGTTAATGTAAAAGCTAGAGGCAAAGTTCTTCTCTCAGGATATGAAGGCACCAAAGTAAGTTCTAGTTGACAAGAATTATTTCTTATCTCGAAATGGTGACATTCTTGTGAACTATGTAGACTGAAATAAATCACTACTGAAATGGCTTCACATGAAGCTGCCCATGCACTGAATGTGGAATCTCTCTGTCTCTCTTTTGGAGTAAACTAACAATATTTAAACTAAAAAAAGATCAGATGGGATAGACCCAATGTCATATTTTGGTTCTTGTGGACTTAATCTTCTTCACTTTCAGCTTGCACAAGAGTAGTCGATAGTCTGTTCCTCAGCTAACTACTGGCATGGTTTGGACTGCTGATACTGAGTTTCTCCAATGATTCTTTACATAGATGTAGTCAATATGATTCCTGTATAGTCCATCAGATGAGATCCATGGGTATAGTCACCATTTGTATTTAAAAAAATTATTTGGAATGAATAAATGATTGATTGTACAAAATTTGATTATTCAATCTCCAGGCTCATTTCTGTCACTACGTCCATAATTTCCAACTACAGTCTTTCTTCCTTGTTCTTAACTTTTGCATTCCAGTCATCAGTTATATCAATGAATCTTGACTGCCTGTTCAGTCTGTTTCAGAGAGCAAAAGTTGTTAGAAATCCTAGAAAAGCAGGCATGGTGATCTATTTCTGAAAAAGAAGCCGTTGAAAACCCTTTTATGAAAAAAAGAAAACCCTTTTAGAGCACTTGGCAAGTCGTTTTCTGCCTTTATTCGGTGTGAATAGTCAAGCATCCTGGCAAGCACTGGACAGAACAAGATTTGATTTCAAGTTCTTACTCATTCTAGATCCTTAGGCAAAACACTGAACTTCTTAAGCCTCGGTCTTTTGTCTCTGGAAAGTGGACACTGTTCTTTAATGCATTAGTCAAGAACTTGACTGCCTGAGTTTGAATCCCAGGTTTGCCAGCTCTATGATGTTAGCTGAGTTACTAAACATCTTAGGCCTTAAGGGTTTTTTTTTTCCATCTGGAACATGGGGCCATAATTAGTTATGAGGATTAAGTTAATTCTATGTAAAGTATTTATTTAGTACAGTGCTTAGGAACATAGTGAAACTATAAATTTTAGTTATTATCAAACAATGTGTGTAGAGACTTTAGTCAGGATGTGGGGGAGGAGGGATGACAAGCTTGGGGTTAAGAAATGGTTCTTTGGCCTGGTTTTTGTTAAGATTCAGGAAAGCAAATCGCCACTCTGCCTCAGGTGCTGTCCCATAACCTCTACACGGTCCTGCACATTCCCCACGACCCTGTGGCCCTGGAGGAGCACTTCCGAGATGATGACGATGGTCCTGTGTCCAGCCAGGGCTATATGCCCTACCTCAACAAATACATCCTAGACAAGGTAAGGTCCAGCTGTGGCAGGAGGTGGGGGCCAGAGAAGGTCAGAAGGGACAGCGTCTATGTTTTCCCACTTCCCCCAAATAGATTTCCACTTCAACTCCTCCCCTCCCCTCTAATAAGCCTTCTCCCTTCCTGCTCCCCTATATCTATCCTTCACATCTCAGTCACCTGCCTCTTTGCACCTGGCTTGGCCCCCTCAACTCACTTCAATCTCCTTCATCTGCATTCTAGCCTTCACCCTTCCCACAACCTTCCACTCTATCCCTGCCAAGGCCCACCTCCAGTTTCCAGCTGTTACCTTCACAAAGGACTCCCCAGCGCCCTACCCCCACCCCAGCACCCTACCCCCACCCCAGCCTCATCTTCTCTGCTCCTCCCAGTTGTTACTGTCACAGATTCCTCTGTCCGCTTACTTCCTCCTGGGCTTCCCCTCCCTTTTCTCCTGGGTTGAGGGAGTTAGAGTTTCTCTGTTGTCAGGGCACAGGAGGGAGGGGGAGGCTAGAACCAGCTAGTGGCTTGGTAATCAGCTAAGGGATTTCTGCATTTAGAACCCTGATTTGGCAGAGTGAAGAGCAGGCAATTAAACCAAAATAGTCCCAAAGAACCAGGCAGGAATCCAGTGTGGTGAGGGAGCAGGGATGTGGTGGCCAGCTTGACTGTCATCTTGGCTGACTTGCCGGCCTGGTGGCAGGTGGAGGAGGGAGCTTTCGTTAAAGAGCACTTTCATGAGCTCTGCTGGACCCTGACGGCCAAGAAGAACTATCGGTTGGATAGCAACGGGAACAGCTTGCTCTCCAATCAAGATGCCTTCCGCCTCTGGTGTCTCTTCAACTTCCTGTCTGAGGACAAGTACCCTCCGATCATGGTTCCTGATGAGGTGAGGGTAACAGTAACTAGAGAGACTGTGTCACTCGTCACTTGGCGCTAGGCTTCAGCAAAACCATGAAGGAGGCGATAGCTGCTTTCTTTTTTTTTTTCTTTCTATAACTGCTTTCTGTACTTTCTCATGGCCAGCTGTTCCCAGGATACATGTAACCATCCACGTCAGAGCACATGTGCCTTCTTCCAGGATAACCAAAATCACACTTCTGTTGTGAGCTGCCAATTGTTTTTGCCCAATGGCAAATGACTGTTCCATTGGGTATTATAAAATGAGAACATTTGGCATCAAATGGTGGGGTTTGGGGCACAGTAGCAATATAAGAAGGGAGTTTTAATGAGAGAAAGGGAGACCTGGTAGGCCCATCCTTCCAATGACTCCAGGAGAGCAACCCAGGTTCCAGATCTTTCCCTTCCTGTTTGCTGCAACATAGGGGAGAGCCAGGGCAGACTCAGTTCAGGGGCCCAGGAGGGCAAGTATTTGTTTCCACTAGGGCAGCATAGGAGAAAAGGCCTAAAATCCATTCCTGACCTTATCAACACATGTGTGAAACCGGAGTTAAGTGTACCCTTTTCCCCCATCCACCAGTTCCCTTCTCTTCTGCTTGTTCTGCCTTCTCCTGACTTGTCAGTCCTCTTTATAGCTACAGAGGTACCAGGGTGAATGTAAGTCTTTACAGCAAGGAATACCAGAGCGGAGGCCTCTGAGTTTACAAGGAGTCTAGCAAATCTGACTGTGTTCAAATTTGTGCCCTTGATTCTGTTCGTGGTGAGTGGGAGGGGAGGCACCAGATCTCTTAACTGGTGATCCCACCGTTACTCCACCCCTAGCTAAGACCTAAGAGACCCCAGCATGAAAGTTCTGGAAAGAGGGTATAAGAGCTGCTGGGGTAGAAAAACAACATGTGTCCATCTTCAGACACCTGTCTGGCTGTCCTCATCAGACCCGTCAGTCTCTCAGAGGCAGTCTCTCAGAGGTCAGAAGGCTGCTTGCTTGCTGTGATCAACATGCAATGTGAAAGAACTATAGCAGGATGTACCCCAACCACCACTTCCTGTTCCTCTGAAACACATTTCCTGTCTCTGCCCGCTTACCTCTGCCTCTAGTCTCCTTGCCCACCACCACCTCCACCACCAAGAGAAGGGTCTCCAGGGTTAAAGATTAGGATTGAGAAATGGGACCTGAATGGGGCCCAGGGGATCTGAACCTGAGTTTTGGCTGCCATCAACTCACTGGTGTTACTTAGAGCAAGTTACCTCTCACTTTGAGCCTTGGTTCTGTTATCTGTGAAGTGAAAAGTGAGGGTATTGGATGAGACGGTCTTTCCAGTCTGAGATTTTTTTTGATTCATTATCTCTGCCTCTCTCTCCCCCAAGTCCTCAGCTCCTGCCATGAACCCTGGTCTTAATTTAAGGCTTCAAGGTATGGATTAGAAGTTGGGGATTTGAAAGAGAATGTCCAAGTTAGGGTTGGAACTCCCGAATCCCCTCTTAGATGTCTACTCGTTTCCACCAGCATCTTGTCCACCGGCCCCCAAACCTAGGCCTTGATCTCATTTGTCCTGGGAGCTGGGTAGGCACATCCCTCCTGTTGGTTCTGGCAGCACTGCCTGCTGTGACCACCTGAAGTTTCCTCCCCCCCTCCAGGTGGAATACCTGCTCAAGAAGGTGCTCAGCAGCATGAGCTTGGAGGTGGGCTTAGGTGAACTGGAGGAGCTGCTGGCCCAGGAAGCCCAGGCAGCCCAGACCACCGGGGGGCTCACCGTCTGGCAGTTCCTGGAGCTCTTCAACTCAGCTCGTTGCCTACGGGGCGTGGGGCGGGACACCCTCAGCATGGCCATCCATGAGGTCTACCAGGAGCTCATCCAGGATGTCTTGAAGCAGGTCAGACCACGCTGAGAATCAGGGAAGGATCCTATGGATGGGGAAATGTGGGCTTGTGCAGCCGCTGACTTTGCTTTGCTTTGGCAGGGTTACCTGTGGAAGCGAGGGCACCTGAGGAGGAACTGGGCAGAACGCTGGTTCCAGCTGCAGCCCAGCTGCCTCTGCTACTTTGGAAGTGAAGAGTGCAAGGAGAAAAAGAGCACAATTTTGCTAGACCAGCACTGCTGTGTAGAGGTGAGGGGGACAAGTGGCAAGGTGGCAGACATCCCAGGGCCCAGTGGGTCTCTAGGATGGTGTGAAGAAAAGTGGCCAAGGGGGAGGGCTGATGGAGAAAAGCCACAGTGACATAAATTTTTACTTGGATGCGTATAAACCAAATACTTGTGGGTGCCTCAAAGTCCTTCTCACCCATGTCAGCACTTCTTAAAAAAACTAAAACCGCCAAGTACAGGTTAATGTTGTGGATTTTGCTACACATTTTAGAGTAGGTGACTTAAGTCACAAAGCCCATATCAATATTTTCTTGAAATCGTCCTTAAAGGCCTTTTTCCTTTCCTCAAATTCCATTCCTTTTGACAACTTCACATCTCCCTGTTATGTCTCTGCATCTCCCTCATCCCTTCTCTTTTCCTCCCTTTGTTCTGTCCATTTGTGTCACAGAAGGAAACAGGTGTCAGTGTGGAAAAGCACACATCTAGGCAGAAATTCCAGCTCCTCCACTAACAGCCAATGTAACTTGGGCAAGATCCTGGATCTCTTAGTGAGTCTGTTACTTTCTCAGTGGATCTAATAATGCCTGCCTGGGAAGTTTATTGGACAGGGGTGTGTGTGTGTGTGGGGGGGGGGTTGCGGAGAAAAAAAATCCCATAACAAGTACTAATACAGATTCTAGAACATAAGCTTAATACATGGTAGTTCTGTTGGTGCAAATGATTACATGCTCAGCTGCAATCTGAAAGATGAGTACTTTGAACTCTCCCAGCAGTGCTACGGGGAAAAGATGTGATAAACTTCTGCATAGAAGATAGTAAAAAACCCCTTCCTCTGGGGCCATTTTACTCTTTCACATAGGGAGCCTATGTGAATTGAAATAGTCTTATTCAATAGCACTCAACACCATTATTTTCCACTGGTATATAAGCTTATGAAGGTAGAAATTTGGTCTGTTGGAGAGGCTTCCATACTCCAAAAGCTTGGAACAACGTGTAGCATTCAGTAGCAGACACCCTCAAAATATCTTTAACACGAATGAATAGACGACTTCCTCAACTGTCATGGCTATGTGACAATTTATGTTCTTGAGAAGTGAGGACCCTGTCAACTGGAGGATGCTTTCACTGAAGTGCTTAAACATGCTCTAAACACTACTCAAGTTGGATTACCTAGCAAACAAGGTAAGCATCGAAGTACTGGTGCTTAATTACTAATCTGTTGGGAATAATCAAACTAGCAAATAAACACAAACAAGTCTGTGTTTACCTTGTTTATTGGGTATTCTCCCCACCTGATACCCACTCAGGGATTATAAATTGGAAAAAAGGCTGCAAGAAAGTGCTAGGAGGCTGGAACAGACACAGAGGCCACCCATACCTAGAAGCTGAATCTCTGAAAACATGTGAAATTGTTCAGGTAGATTAGTAAATAAACACACACAAGGCTGTGTTACTTGCATATTGGTTAAGCCAACAATGATACGAATCAAGTGGTTATTAAATGCTACATCCTGTAGAGAGATACTTAACTAAATGTGCACAGGTTCTAGGCAGAATGGGACAGGTGCTTGGGGAAAACAGTCAGCCAGAGGGATAGGGCTTGAGCTGAACAGTCCTAGGGGTAGGTGGACTCTACTAAAGTCAACTCGGCTGTCCCTCCCAGGTCCTGCCAGACCGCGATGGGAAGCGCTGCATGTTTTGTGTGAAGACGGCCTCCCGCACCTACGAGATGAGCGCTTCGGACACGCGTCAACGCCAAGAGTGGACAGCTGGTGAGTGCGAGTTGCGAGCTGCCAACTACTGGGCCTCACCTCTGAAAAGCCCCGAGAGAGGCTGGACCCAAATTCTTTCTTGGTGATGACCCTCTTCTCGATTTCTCTTGCAGCCATCCAGACGGCTATCCGACTGCAGGCCGAGGGGAAGACATCGCTGCACAAGGACTTGAAGCAGAAACGGCGAGAAAAGAGGGAGCAGCGCGAGCGGCGCCGAGCAGCCAAGGAGGAGGAGCTGCTGCGATTGCAGCAGCTCCAGGAGGAAAAGGAGCGGAAGCTGCAGGAACTGGAGCTGCTGCAGGAGGCGCAGCGGCAAGCGGAGCGCTTGCTGCTGGCAGAAGAGGAGCGGCGCCGCAGCCAGCATCGGGAGCTGCAGCAAGCGCTCGAGGGGCAGCTGCGCGAAGCGGAGCAGGTGGGACCAGCAACGGGGGTGGAGCCCGTGGGCTGGTGATGGGCGTGGCCTGAGGGCTCAAGCCCATGAGGGGCGGGGTCGTGGGGCGGGGCCTGTGTGTGGAGAGGTGTGTCTGCAGGTGAGACCTTGGTTTTAAAAGATGAATGCTATGGGCTGAATGTGTGTGCTGGAGAAGCTGAGGGAAGCCGAGGAACCAGGCTGACAAATGCTTGAGGTCAGGGCCTGAAGTGACATTACTAATTTGTATAGTATGTACCCAGTTCTGAGACCCTGCCTCAGGGGTTTGGGCACAAGGAGACCCAAAAGACCACTTAGGGATTGTTTTGGACCAAGGCTAAACCGGATTGGACTAGATTTGAGTTAAATTTACAGTGAAACCAATTTGGAGAATGCAGGTTGCAAAGGTGACCTGGGAATTTAGGTTTACATTTTACCCGATTTGGATCTGGAGTTAGGGATATATGTAGCTACAATCCAGGCTCTGCCTCTTAGGAGCCTTGTGGGTAATCTATCTAATAGTATCTAACCAATAGTACTTTGTTCATAACAACCCAAATCACATCCACTGCCATCAAGGCTATTCCAACTCAAAGTGACCTCATAGGACAGAGTAATACTGCCCATAGTTTCTAAGACTATACATCAATAAGGAAGCAGGCTGCCTAATCTTCCTTTCAAAGAACAGCTGATTTGTCCAAACCGCTGACCTTTTAGCTAGCAGCCAAATTCTTAACCTCTGCCACAGGGCTGCTTCATAGTTACTGTTGGTAGGTGCCATCGCATTTACTCCATTTCATAGCAACCCTGTGTACAAAAAGATTGAAACTTCACCAGATTTTGTACCATCCTCACTGTGCTTAACTGTTACAATACTATGTCAATTTACCTCACTGTGGGTGTTCTTCTCATTCACTGAGTCTTTCCCTTTCCAAGTATTTCCTTTTCCAAGAACTAGCATCTCCTAACAATGGCAGGATTGGCTATCCACTTCTGAAATAACGGGCAATTAGGAAAAATCCTTTTTTAAAAAATAAATTTTTTTAATTGTCATTTTAACAAAAGTTTATAGAAAATTTAGATCTCCATTCATTCATTGTTTCACATTTTACCCCCTCTCCCAACTCATCACCATCCAATTGAGTCAACTCATGGTAACCCTCCATTGTGTTTCTGAAATGATATAAATCTTTCTAGCGTGACTGATGGATTCTAACTACTGATTTTTTGGTTAGCAGCCCAACACAGATCACACTAAGTCACCAGAGCTCCTTCTCGTGGAGGTATATATACCCCAAAAAACCAAACTCATTGCCTTGAGTCAATTCTGGCTCATGGTGATCCCTGGACCCTCTGTTGTGTTTCCTAGGCTGTAAATCTTTTCAGGAGGAGACTGTTCTGTCCATTGTTTTCCTCACTGAGCAGTTGGTGGACTCTAGCTGCCAACTTTTTGCTTAACAGGTCATCATGTTATAGACACCATGCCAGTGGGATTTGGAATTAAATGAGGAAACATCTATAAGATGTTCAGTACCTTTTAGTTGTTATGTTGTTCCTGTAATTGTCGCTTTCAACTCAGCTTGCCCCAGTATACAACAGAATGAAGGAGTGCACAGTCCTGCACAATCCCCACAATTAGTTGTTATAATAATAATAATAATTATTATTATTATTATTATTAAGTACTTGGAGTGGAATGATGTGAGCTCTTTTCTTCACATAGCATTTGTTCACTGACCATTTCTGATCCAGCTAAGCCATCAGGAAAGGTCAGATAGGGAAAAACAACTTGGAGAGACATCACCACCTCAGATAGTCTGGCTGAGTTCTGCCCAACCCCATTCTCCCTGTGACCTGCCTCTGTATCTTGTACAGGCCCGGGCCTCCATGCAGGCTGAGATGGAGCTGAAAAAGGAGGAGGCTGCCCGGCAACGGCAGCGCATTGAGGAGCTGGAAGAAATGCAGCAGAGGCTGCAAGAGGCCCTACAACTGGAGGTGAAAGCTCGGCAGGATGAGGAGGCAGTGCGTCTTGCTCAGACCAGGTAAGCCTGAGGAGTTTCTTCTGGTTTCCTCAACCCTCTTTCATCCTCCTTCTTGCTGAGCAACTGCGAGGTGCCTTAGCGATGGAAAATGATTTGAGTGCATGCCTGACAGACTGCTGGAGGAGGAGGAAGAGAAACTGAAGCAGCTGCTGCAGCTGAAGGAGGAGCAGGAACGCTACATAGAACGGGCGCAGCAAGAGAAGCAAGAGTTACAACAGGAGATGGCGCAGCAGAGCCGGTCCCTGCAGCAAGCCCAGCTGCAGCTAGAAGAGGTGCGACAGAACCGGCAGAGGGCAGATGAGGATGTGGAGGTGAGACCTGGCATGGGACAAGGGGCTGGTGGAGTAAGGGATTTAACTCAGTAACTTGAGATTGGCTGCCTTGGTTACTACCATCTGACGGTGTGACCTTGGTCTAGTGGCCTAACCTTTCTGAAGTGGATTGAGTTCCCCACTGCTAATTGAAAGATTGATCTACTCTGCACTGAAGGGTTTTGGGGGTTGCTGTAACTGCAATCAACTGAAGAGTGACTAACAAACAATAGCATGTTGTGAATATTAGACCAGATATTTAATATATCACATGAGATAGCAATATTTGCTATTTGTTACCATTATTAGTTGGTACTATTTGTTACCATTATTATTATTAATTAATGTATCATTTTCTTCCTACTTTTCTAAGCCCATACTTTGCTATCTTTGTAGAGTTGTCCTAGCATATCCATGAAGGATTTGGTCCAGGACTTCCAAGGACATGAAAATCCATGCATACTCAAGTCCCTTGTATAAAATGACCTAGTATTTACATGCAATCTACACATTTGTACCTTAAGTCACCTCTAAATTATTTGTAATGTTGAATGGAGCCTGTATCTCCAAGAAGTGTTGTTAATTTTTAAAATATTTTATTTCTATTGATATTCTTTTATTATTTGCTTTGTTTATTTACATAATCATTGTAAAAATGCAAACACAAAAATATGTAATATGTAGAAAAGTTTTCCCCTGGCCCCTCCCTCAACCACTGCTAATGACTTGTGTCTTAGTTCTCTAGTACTGCTTTAACAGAAATAACACAAGCAATGTCTTTAACAAACAGAAATGTATTTCTCTCATAGTTTATGGGGCTCTAGGAGAAGGCTTTCTCTTTGTGGTGGCTCTGGGAGACAGTCTTTGTGTCCCTTGGAGATCTCTTAGGTGTCAATCTTCCCCTGGGTCTAGGAGGTTCTCAGCACAGGGACCTGAACTCAATTGATATGCTCTGCTCTCAGCTCTGTTTTGTCATGCTGATGTCTCTCCTCTTCTGTTTATTTCTCTCTCTCATATTTTTAATATAAAAGGTAATAGAGTTCAAATCCACCAGATGCTTTGCTGGAGAAGGAGGTTCAATCTCCTCCAGTACCAGTCAGATCTGATTTGACTTTACACACACAAAGATAATAAAATAAAGAACAACAAAAAAAGGTAATAGAGGCCACACTTGTGGGAAACTTTCCTTACATGGATCAGGACTGTGGCCTGAGTAAGGGTGTTGTACCCTAACCTAATCCTCTTATAACTGATTGGATGATCACATTAGATCACCTATGGAGAATGTTGCATCATTACATAACTGTCATCATTGAGAATTATGTCCCAGCCCAATTGATGTGTATTTTTGGGGGATCCTAACTGTGCAGAGTGCACGCTGGAGCAGAGATCTTTCATTAGGTCCTGGAAGACTTACATAGGGTAGTGGTTTAGAGCTCAAGGCATTAGTCTGGGCAAGTAACTTAACCTCTTTTGCATTTATTGTTAACTTCTATTCTTGGAGTTAGACAAAATAATATATATATGCTTAACACAGACTAACAGTTCAATCCATGGAAACTATTGTTATTGATTCTTTAGAGATCCATTGTTGCTGCTGCTGTTATTGTGTATCATTGAGTCAGCACTGACTCATAGCTGTCCCTCTGGCGGATTTTCAGAGGCAGTTTAATCTCACAGGAGGAGATTGCCCATCTTTCTCCCACAGAGCAGCTGATGTATTTGAACCATGTGCTTTGGGGTTTGCAGTGCAGTTTCTTTCCACTACGTCACCAGCGCTCCCTATAGAGGTCCACAAGTTTTCTAAAATTGTATGCAAACTCTTCATGTACTAAACTCTATATGAACATACAGTCTGTCAGGTTTTAAGGGGCCTGTGAACTTGAAAGGGTCAAGACATCCTGGAGTGTGGTTCTGACTCATTCCCCATTGGTCCTGCCCTCACAGGCTGCCCAGCAGAAGTTGCGCCAGGCTAGCACCAATGTGAAACATTGGAACGTCCAGATGAACCGTCTCATGCATCCAATTGAGCCTGGAGGTGAGAAGGGATAGAACTCAGAGCTTCTCCCTTGGAGGGTGGAGGATAAAAGAAGGGAGAAAGAGATGCCTCCAGATCTCTAGGGCCTGCAGAGATAGAAGGTCAGGAAGTTCTATGCAGCTTGCCAGGTCCCTCAATCTCCTACACTCACCTATCTTTTTACTCATATATGTCTCCTCTCTGTGCTAGACAAGCGTCCCACCACCAGCAGCTCCTTCACTGGCTTCCAGCCCTCCCTGCTTGCCCGACGAGACTCCTCCCTAAGGCGCCTCAACCGCTGGGGATCCCAGGGAACTAAGACCGTCACATCTAACAGCAGTGACCAACAGAAGTCTCTCAATGGCGGAGAGGAAGCTCCCACCTCAACTGTCACCCCTCAGGAAGAGAAACTGGACACACCTCCAGAAAATTAGCCTCTGCTAGCCCTCTCATGCCCACTAGGACCTAGCCACAGCTGGCCTGTGGGTGACACTGGTCCCTGCTGGTGACAGGGACCCAGGCGCTTTAACCATGAAATAGTCCTGGATGGACCTCTGTTCATGTTCATCTTACACACCAGCCTCATACCCTAGACTATGGGAGATGACTGTAATATTGATCCTTGAGATCTTAGCCATGTGCCTTAGCCCCAAGGGCCCAAGTAACCTGGTCTGGAAAAGAGAGTAAAAGAAATGAGGAGGAACTATCTGTCCCCAGGTTGCCGCCACATTACTGAGGCATATTTCTAAATAAAAATTGCGCGTGGAGTGAACTATTGGTTCAGGTATGCTCTTTATCTTTTTTGCTGTCCCTTACCTCCTTCAGGACCTGTAAGGCTCCAGTACAAGCAGCTGGCAGATGGGCAGTCTCACTCTATCCATAAGTAATATTCAACTATGAAAACACAAATTAACTAGGAAATGACAAAAGTAATTCATAAATTCATTAAGAGATTTCTTTCTAAGATTTCTATTTAATATTTGTAAGAAGTAATATTCAAAGTGTTTTTGTTAATTGGGTGTTTATAATACCTGTAATAACCACTCAAGTAAAATTTTTTTTTCTTATTTAGAGTATTGGTGTTACATGGAATTGAAGTTCTTTAAAAAAAACTTTAACTTATATATACCTAATTTGGCTGCAGAGGTGTGTTATGGTAATGAATAAAAGATGTGCAAGAATAAACCTGCTACATTAAAATGGATATACAAGTTCAAGGAGAAAAATAGTGTCTTAATTATCTAGTGCTGCTAGATAATTATCGAGTGCTGCTGTAACAAACAAATATGACAAGTGTATGGTCTTAACAAACAGAAATTTAATTTCTCACTGTTAGGCTCTAAATTCAGGATGCTGGTTCTGTGGGAAGGCTTTCTCTCTGTGTACTCCAGAGGAAAAGCCTTGTCTTTTTCCCAGCCTACATTTCTCTACTGATCTTCGTAAGGCACAAATTTGCCTACATTTCTGCTTGCTTGCTTTATCTGCTCTTTCATATCTCAAAAGATATTTACTTAAAATACAGTCTACACTAGTATTACCTCTTGAATGTAACAAAGAAAACTCATTCTCAAATGAAATTGTCATCACAGGTAGAGGGCTTAGAGTTTACAAGACATATTTTTGGAAGATACAATTTAATTCATAGCAAAGGGACATTGTATAATTCATGATTATGAAAAAAGAACTTATTCATGCATTTTTTAAAAAATAATGATGGTGAGTATCAAATCATATTCAGTCTTATTGAATAAGTTTAAAAGCGTAATTAGTAATTTTATTTTGAAAAGTCAGTATTTCAAAAATACTAGAAATTCCTTCTACTACAGCTATTACACTATAAACTAATGATGAAATTTTTTAAAAAAATTGTTGTTTAGGTGAAAGTTTACATAGCAAATTAGTTTTCCATTCAACAATTATGCGTGTTTTGGATTACCAGAAAGAAAAAAAGGCAAAATCTATTGTATGAACAAAGCAAGGGAACATCACTACATAGTTTAAAATTAAGAAAAGTATGCATCTATGTGAAATAGCTCAGTCACAAAAGGACAAATACTGTATAGTGCCACTGTTGTAAAGTGGAACTGACATTGGAGTTGGGGAGAAAACTAAGAGGGGATAAATATTGTATACTGCATTAAAACAGATGAGGGAGAGAACTATTTAGGAGGAATATATGATTAGGTATTATTGTTATAACAAGAGTCCAGAATGAAAGCTGCATAGTGGAGTGGACTGAGGAGGGATTGTATAATAATATATATATTTTAAATTTTTTACTTTTCAAAGAGAAAAGCAAACTGGTGGGGGGAATGGGCAGTGAGGAAAGTGTGCAACAACGAATGAGCAGAAATCCAAAGTCTCTGTAAACTTTCATTAAAAAAAAAAGTATGCATCAGGATTGTATCCTGTCTTCATACCTATTCAATCTGTAGGCCTAGCAAATTATTCAAGAAGCTGGATTCTGGGAAGAAGAATGTGGGATCAGGGTTGGAGGTAGACTCATCAATAACCTATGTTATGCAGATGACACAACTTTTCTTGCTGAAAGTGAGGAGGACTAGAAATACTTGCTGCAGAATCTCAAAGAATACAGCCTTCAATATAGATTGCATCTCAACATTAAGAAAACAAAAAACTCTCATCACTGGATTGACAGGCAACATGATAGATGGAGAAAAGATTGAAACTGTAAACCACTTCATCTTTCTTGGATCCACAATCAACACCCTTGGTATCAGGAGATCAGGAGACCTATTGCACTGGGAAAGTCAGCCGTCAACGACCTCTCCAAATTATTGAGGAACAGTGATGCCAGTTTGAGGATGAAAATATGTCTGATTCAGATCCTAGTCACTTGCAATTCATCAGAGAGCTGGACAATGAAGTATGATTGAAGAAAAATCAATGCTTTGGAGTTGTGTGGCGTTGAAGAATATCCCATAGATTGCTAAAAGAACAAACAGTTATGTCTTGGAGAAGGTACACCCAGAGTACACCTCGGAGGCAAAGATGATAGAGCTCCATTTCACATACTTTGGGTATGTTGCTAGGAGTGGCTATTCCTTGGAGAGGGCCATAATGCTTGGTATGGTGGAAGGTGGTCAAAAGAGGGGAGGAAGACCTTCATCCAGAAGAATTAACCCAATGATTGCAGCAATAGGCTCAAGTATGTGAGAAATGTTGAGGATAGCACAGGATAGGACAGAGTTCAGAACTGTTGTTCCTAGGATTCCAGTGAGTCTTACTCAACTTGGTGGCATACAACAACTGATAGTCCATGGTCTATTCAATATTCTTCACCAATACCACAATTTAAAGGCATTAACTCTACTTCAATTTTCTTTATTCATTGGCCTACTTACACAACCATATGAAGCAATTGGTAAATACTCTATCATTGATCACGTGTACCTTAGTCTTCAAAATGTCATCCTTTCTCTGTAGCACTTTAAAGAGGTCTGCAAAAACAGCAGAAAATGGGACATGGGGGCACAGGGCTGTAAGCCTCTCTCTGAAAGAGGCAAAGGGAGTGAAAAATAGCACAGCCCCTTCCCACCCCAGAGCAAACACAAATAAAGAGCCCATAGCCCAGCTCCATGGTGTCTCTAGAACCACACTAACAGCACAAGGTTTGTTTATTCATTGCTGACTCACAGGTTTTACTCACAATTGTGGTATCAAGAGTGGAGTTTATTAGAGAAAAAGGTTGGGGAAAGGGAGAAGCAAAGAATATCTCACAATACAAGTCCAGGTTTAGTCCAAGCCAGATTAACAGCAAAATGTAATTCCTTAATTAGTAAAAGTCCAAATCATCCAGCAAGGTTTGCCTCAGAGAAGTTATAAGTTAGATTCTCCTTTAATTATCTGGCAAGCACAGAAAACCCTTTTACTGTGGCCTTTATCTCAGGTCTCCTCTGGTTAAACTTTGCCACAATTTCTCCACAATAATACCACAGACTCTCTACCATGGTTTCACCACCAGCATTTTGCTTCTGTCTCCCTCAAGTCTTGCTGCCTAGTGTGGAAAGCACTCTCTTATCCTAGTCCCACAGCTGTTGGTGAATTTCAAGACCATGTGTCTGTAGTTAATGAAGGTAGCTGGAGACCAGATGGGGCTAAGGTAATGGCTAAAAAAAGCCAACTTTAGGTTAACATTACAGGGTTCTTGGTAGCAAATTTGTCCATTGCACTACATTCTTTGATTTGATCCACAAATTGCAGTCAAGGGTGTTGACTGTGGATTCCAGTGAAACAAAATCCTGAAAAATTTCAATCTTTTCTCCCTTTGTCATGATGCTATATATTGCTCCATTTGTGAAGATTATTGAGTTGTTCTGGTTTTTGTTTCTTTGTTTGGTTGTTTTTTTCTGGATTTGGTTTGGTGGTGTGTTTTTTTCCCCTGGATGATGATGATGATTAATTATTTTAATGAAAATTTACAGATACTTTGGATTTCCATTCATTCATTGTTGCACTTTTCTCCCTGCCTACCTCTCCACCCCCCCACCCCCCAGTTCACTCTTCTCGTTGAAAGTAAAAGAAAATGTCTTTCATTGTTTTACAATCCCTCCCCCCAAGTCCACTCCACTATGCAGCCTTTGTTCTGGACTCCAGTCATGACAATAATACCTAATCACATATTCCTTTTAAACAGTTTTCTCCCTCATCTGATTCAATGAAGTATACATTATTCATCCCATTTTTCTCAGTCTCTCCCCAACCCTGAT